AAAATTTATTTTTATTAATATTTAAAGTACAAGGATACTCTAATCTCCTTAGCATGGCGAGCTGAATTTAGAAATGAATTCTAGCTACATCTATTTTTTTTGTTACCTTTTATCCTTTTTTATGAGAACATGATATATAAATAACATAAAAAAAAAAAACATCACAATTGATGAGGTTATATGAACCTAAAAGGTCGATGACACTGAAGACTGAACCAGACACTGGTTTAACATATATATATCTTGCATAACTGATTACTAGAAAGAAAAGCATACACTTAATAATGGTGATTTAATTGGTAAGAGCGTTGTTAATAATAGTAAAACCCTCAAATTTATCCCTTAAATAAATCGATAAAGACGGATTCACCCCTAAAAAAAATGTGGGGACAAATTGCATTCCAAATTATAAATTAAAACAAATCACTCATTTTTAAACATTTTCCATTAAAAATTTTGACGTTTTTCATTAAAAAATATGTGATTTGTTTTGAATTATAATTTTGAGGGGCAATTTATTCTTGCATTTTTTGAGGGTTGGATCTGTTCCTGCTAACATATTTACGGGTGAATTTGGGGGTTTTGCTGTTAATAATTTTGTTGTTAAATGTTGGATTCTTTAGTGAGGTCAAATGCATAAAGAAGCAATTCTTCATAAATTATTTATGCCATATATATAAGCTATTTTTATTCGAATCAAGAAAAAATTACTTTGGAGATGCTCACAAATTAACTAGCTTTGGGACACTTTGACCACAAAACCCAAAAAAGAAATGAAAAACATGCCTATGAGAGAAGGTTATGTGACCACTCTTACACATTAGCCGGCTAGTTTGATTGGTGATGGTTATTTTTTGTTCAACCATAAAACAAGTTAAAATTAAGAAACTTCCAATAAGAAGTTAAGAGTAGCTAAACTTTAAGGGTTAATTATTTTTTAGTAGTTTTGTTAGGATTTTATTCTAAATTAAGTGTAAACTTAATTTTATGTTTTACATGAGTGAAAAAATATAGATTAAATTTATCATAAAAGTATTAGATTGTTTTTTAAAAGTCTATACTACTTTTTATACAAATATGAGCTTAAACCTAAATTCTTGTTAATTAAATAACTCCAATTTTAATCGTTAATTTGTGAGAATTTATTCTGCTTGTTGTCTAGTTTTGTACATTGATGGCACAATCCTTAAGGGTTTCTTGTTGTCAAAATGACAGGAGCAAAAAATTGATTTTGGTGGAAAAAATTTACATTTACGTTGCGAAATACATATAATAAATTGGTTGTATATATGTAAAACAAGAAAAAAAAAATTTAAGTTGCCACAAATTATTGACATGTTACACTAAGTAACGTAAATATAAATAAAAAGAAAAAAGCTAATATTCAGTTGAATTAAACCCCAAATTACATTTACTCCTTGAAAATATTTAAAAACTCAACAATTTAAGTAACATTTATGAAGGAAAATGATTGATACATCTTTTAGTTCAACACACT